GTGCGCGCCCGGGATCCGAACCCGGGCCGCCAGTAGCGGAGCGCGTGCACTTAACCACTAAGCCATGGGGCCGGCCCCAAAGCTGAGCTTTTATTTAAGACTTTGTCCCCGCTAGTCACATATATGTGTGTGCTTGTGTGTGTGTGTGTGCGTGTCTGCTCACACACTTTACATTTATGTCAAGGAATCAGTAAATGTGAATATTTTTATGTTCCAAATATCTCTGTTCAAATCTGAAGGTCCTAATTAAACAGTATTAGAACAAGTATGCTTAAGCAAATTGATAAGACTGCATTTCTTCTGTGCTGCAGCTTTTGGATATAGGCCTTCACTATAACGCGTACATAACTATTTGTGCACAGCCGTTTGGAACAGCTGCTGGCACTGTGGCGTTACACCTAGCCCTTCAGAACATGGAGTCTGAGTCAGAGTGACTGGGATTTGAATTCTTTGTGTACCACTTCCTAGCTAATCTTAGGCAAGTTACTTACACTACATGAACCTCAAGTTCTTCATCTGGAAAATGAGAGTAACAACAGTTCCTCCCTAAAGGGCTGCTTTGGGAATTAGTCGCCCATTTAAGAGAAAGTATGCCTGGGTGATGGGGCTCTGGTCTCTGCAGCCAGGCCCTATGGTTAGGTGACTTAGGCAACTCCCTAACCACTCTATTTCTCAGTTTCTCCATCTGCAAAGTGAGCATGACAATAAAGAACACTTATCTCATGGAAGGATAGGGAGGAGGGACTGAGATAAAACATGGAAAGGGGTTTGAGCAACACCCGCACAGGTGAGTGTTTGATGAATTTAGTTCTCCCTATCACTCATTCAACAGGTATTTAGTGCCTGCTAAGCAAAGGCACTGTGGTAGGTCTAGGCAGTACACCAGTGAATAAAACAGACATGATTCCTGCCCTCGTGACACATTCTACTGGAGGAGACCATAAGTACATTTATTTTAAATGTACTTAGATTGTGATGAGTGCCCTAAAGGAAACCACTAGTGGCCTGTAATGGAGAAGATCCAAGGAGGTCTATTTAGAATTCTGAATAAAGACGATGGATTTAACATACCTACGTAATTTTTTTCATCCCCAAACCACAGTAAGTGCGTATTTTTGAAAAGGTAGAACCCTCAAGGAGGTAGAAAACACGAGAGGAGACAAGAGCAGACACAATTTGAAGCTGTAAAGCAGATGGATGAATGGTACCCGCAAAGGGAAAGCTGAAAACCAACACTATCTACCCCCTAAACCCTCATGTGCCTCAGGAAATGGCAGGGTGGAGCTAGAGTGGGGTCAGGAGGTAAGGGGAGATCAAACAAGGACTGGTGGAAAGCTGTGAAAGGATCATAGGATCCCCTTCTTCCTCATACGCTGCTAGACACCTGCCCCTTCCCGCCTTCCCAGAAGTCTGGAGAGGGAGAAACAGACGGTTTCTGAGGCAGGAGTTGTCATACACAATGTGTCCAAAGTAAGGGGTTAAGTGATGCTAAATTCTGGACTCTTAGCTTTCTCTTTGCTACTTGCCTCCCAGAACACTGGCAGCCAGGCCCTTATCTCTGGGCAGCAGATTGTCTTTTCTACGGAGATACCTGATGATAGTGATATTGAGAAATACCCCCCAAAATGGCCTAGTGATGCTCAAAATCAACAAACCCCATCCACATGCTGAGAGCTTTGAGTGAACTTTTTACCTTCCCTACCCTTTATCATGGATTATAAAGGATGGTCTGAATCCTAGAGAAAGACAGAGACCAAAACAAAGAGGGAAAATAGCAACTTTTAACAAACATAAAACAGTCAGGGAGATGATATTGTATCCATTAAATAAATATAAAATAATGCTTTTTAAAAAACAGAGAACATCATAGGAAAAGAGTCCTTATAAATTTAAAAACATAGTATCAGAAATTTAGAACTCAAGAGAAGCGTTGATAAAGTTGAAGAATTCTTCTGAAAGTATGCAAAGAAACAAAGAGATGGGAAATAGAGAAAAGATCCAACATCTGAATAACAGGAATTCTAACATAATGGATCAAATAAAGAAAGGGGGAGGAAATTATCAGTGAAATAATTAAAGGAAATTTCCTATAATTAAAGGACACAAGTCCCAGATTTGAAAGGGCCCAAAAAGAAGACAGCACAATGGATGAAAAGCGGGTCATACCGAGACTAATCACTGTAAAAGTTTAGAAATCGAGGGCCAAGTGTATTACCGGCTTTCAGAGAGACAGAAATAGGTCATGTCCGAAAGGTCAGAAATTAGATTGGATTCAGACTTCTCAACAGCTAGAAGACCAAAGATAAATGCTTTCCAAATACTAAAGAATAATTACTATCAACATAGAAATCTATACCCAGCCAAATTATGAAACAACTATAAAGATGAAATGAAGACATTTTTAGACAAATACGGCCCCAAACTTTGCCCTATGCTCAGTAAGCTGTTGGAGGATTGCTCCACAAAAACAAGGACAGAAAAGCGGAGAATTAACCCAAGAATGGATCAAAAGAAACATCCAAGATGATAATAAAGATTCCAGGGTGACAACTGTGCTCCAGGGATCTAGGTCAGCCAAACCAGATTGAAGCGGTGACACACACACAGACAGATCCTTACCGTCTGTCAATGTCATACCTCTCGTCATCAGGCCTTCATCTTAACTTCTGGAATACTGGAGGATGTGCGCCAAATAAACAAAGGGGTAAATAAAGACAAAAGATGGCATCCAGGAAGCAAGACACTAAATCAAGAGAAAGACATTCCTGGGACGGCAGTGAAGGGAAGTCTGATGATGACAGCTGTGCAGAAAACCCAGACAACTCTACAAAGAAGAGTGGAAATCTCCAGGAAAACAATAAATTATCTGATGTCATTGACTTTGTGGAATATCGTATCGGCAGGCTATTGGATAGTCTGGGAAGGTTCCACAATAAAAGTAAAAAGAATTCAGCAAATGAAAAAAGGCAATTATTAATTTTGAGGAGGAAAAGTGAGAAAGGAAATATAGTCAAAGTGTACTACAATGCACAATTCCGTATACATGTGCATAGGTGTGCTAATGAGACAACTGAATATTGATTTAACCAAAAAACTTTAATAGCATTATTTTGGGAGTTTGGGAAAAGGGAAGCAGAGAAGACGACTATGTAAAAGATAAATTCTTATTCCTATAAACGAAGTCCATAGAAACTAAAATTAGTGAATCAAAGAAAGCCATATTTACATATCCTATAGAAGTATGGAGATGTGTAAATCCTAAAGAAACAGCTAAAAGGGTTAAAAAGAGGGTTGCATCTGAGGAGAGGTTAACGTGAAGAGGTAGGGCAAGGAATCACTGTACTTTGTTTTAAACTTTTTAACACAATTTGATATTTTAAAACTTTGATAGAAAGGAACTTTTTGAAGCACCTAACTAACATCTGGCAAGTGGATATGATTAATAGCAGTAATAGCAAACTGATCACATTACTTTCACATCTTGTCTTTTCTCTGCCCAAGGAAAACGTGACATGAAATCATCCAATGTGTCCACAATTGCATCAACTTGACATTGTTCCAATTCTGTTTTTCCAGCCAAATCTATGGAACAGAGAGAGACCACTTTATGCCCAAGAATATGCTTGATTTAATTTACTATGTTAAAATGCTTATTTTTTTTAGTAGGCAATATATTCATATGGTTCAAAAATTCAAAACAATTAAACAGTATCCAATGAAGACGAACTTCCACCCCTGCCCCTGTCCACCCTTACCTACCCACCATATTGATAACCACTTTTATTGGTTCTTTTGTATTCTTCCATTGTTTCTTTATGAAAATAAGAATATATATCCCATTCAATGCGCTCCTCCCCCATATATCCTAGAGATCTTTCCTTACAAGGCCCTCAAGGGTGTCCTAGCTCTTTTTCAGCTACAAGGGATTCATTTAAGTAGAATTGCCATGATTTACTTAACTAGCCTCAACTGATTAGGTTTGTTTCCGATCTTTTGCTAATACAAGCAATATTACAATAAATAACCTGTACCACATACATTATCACTCATTTTATAAAAAGAATTATGATTATTATTATTTTTGGAGATAATTTTTGTCAGGAGCATTTGTTTTCTTCCCGGAAACTGTAAGTTTAAAATAATAGAGTTTGGTTTTTTTTCTCTCCTGCCATTCGTTGATCATCATTCTGCAAAGAAATCATTGGTCTTCCTAAATATTTTCTCTTCAGTGTCAATTTAAAATGCTTCAACGTGGAAGCATTCTAAAATAGATTGCTTTTGTACAATTGTATAAATTTACTAAAAATCAAGGAACTGTATACTGACAATGGGTGAATTGTATGTAAATCACCTCTAATAAAGCTGTTAAAAATGAAAGAAAATGCTTTAGTGATTTAGAGTTCTTCTGTAAATTATCTACATTTTTTGTGTGTGATGTTCAAAGGTTGATTCTTCTTTCTGACCTTGAAAACTCCTCCAAATTGTATCATAGGTTCTCTTGACTCATTGTCATCCCTACTTTGACTTCCACGCTCAAGGCTTCAGCTATCAGTTTGATGCAGATGACTCCTTATTCAACACTTTTAGTCCTAAATTCCAGGCGCATATTCTCAGCCTCCTCTTGGACATTTCTCTGTGTATCCTTTTGGCCCCTGAACTTTCTTCAACAAATCCCAAAATGGAGTCATCACATCCTACCTCAAACCAGCTCTTCCCTCTCCATTCATTCAACAAATAATTACTGGGCTCCAACTGTGGGTCGGCCCCAACTGTACAGCCGTGAACAAAAGAGAGAAATTCCTTACCTGCACGGCACTTATGGCTGACTGGAGAAGACACTGAAAAGGGAATTGCAAGTTAAGAAACATTTTTTTTTTTTTTTGAAGAAGGAGAGGAAAATGAGTAGGAGCTAGAAAAAGGACAAACTATGTCCAAGCTGTCACCTGCCTGGCCCTTACTCTCCTGGTCAAACAGACTGCTCTCCACATGCCAATATCTGTCTTCTAGCCCCAGGATGATTCTATCATCACAAACTCCCCCATTTTTTCCTCACGCCTTCTTTTCCGTTGCTGTCTGAACTATTTCAGTGACATCAAAATGTGCATCACTGCAGTCATGCCAATCAAGTACTCAGTATGGCCCGAACAATCTGCCCAAGCTCATAGCTGTAGTTATGTGGCTTTTCTAGATGAAAACCTACAACTGAAGTAAGACAAAGACAAACACTGTATGATCTCACTTATATGTGGAATCTAAAAAGAATGAAACTCATAGATACAGAGAACAGATTGGTGGTTGCCAGAGGTGGGGAGTGGGAGATGGCTAAAAATAGGTGAAAATGGTTAAAAGATACAAATTTCCAGTTACAAGATAAATAAGTCCTCAGTATGTAATGTCCAGCATGGGGACTATAGTGAATAACACTGTAGTGTATATTTGAAAGTTGCTAAGAGAGTAAATCTTAAAAATTCTTATCACAAGAAAAAAAAATTTGTAACTATGTGTGGTGATGGATATTAACTAGACTGATTATGGTCATCATTTAGCAATATATACATATATCAAGTCATTACATTGTACACCTTAAACTAATATAATGTTTTATGTCGATTATATCTCAGCTAAAAAAAACACCCTACAATTGCTTAAGGAATGACATCCATACTCTGATCTTTTTAATCGGATCTCGATCTATTTTTCTATCCATTTCTCTTTCTACTTCTCCACCCTGCAAATTTGAAGTTCTTTTCTTTTTCTCATGCCATTTTCTCTCTGCCTAGAATGTTCTAGCCCAGAGATTCTCAAAGTGAGGTCCATGGACCAGCTGCATCAGCATCATCGGGAAGTCGTTAAGAATGCAAATTATTGCCCCCCCCCGGGCCTACTGAGTCACAATCTCTGGAGTCCAGGCTGAGCAATGTGTGTTTTAATGAGCCTCCAAGCCATCCTGATGCACATAAAGTTTGAGAAACACTACCCAAGTCCAGGTATTCCTCTTGAAATTCTAGGTATCCTTTAAGGCTCAACTCAAATGTTGTTTTCACTTCAAAGTTAAATTCCCATCCTCAGAATTGCCGTCTCTTCTAAACTTCCAAAGAATTTTGCTTGTTGCAATGTGTATTAGTGCAACAGAAATTTTTGTATTTTTAACATACACATGTTACTTTGGTCCCAAAATGAAGGTCTAGTAATTGTGGCCCATTTTATTTGTGAGCTAACCATGTATCTATGGCTTGGATCATAGTGGTTGTCGGGGAAGAGGGAGGATGACGGGATTGGGAGAGGGGCACAGTGGTTCTGCAGATTGATTAGAAAGAAAGAGACTTTAAAAGAAGCAAATCGTAGCTTTTTACTCAGAAGAGTGTTAGGGAGGTATAAGGGGAGAGAGAAGACAGTGGAGCGTAGGATGGGAGAAAGGGCATCAGGCCAAGACAAGAACCAACAGTTTCTTTCTCCTCATCTCACCGTGTTCGTGCAGGTGCCAACAAAGCAACCCAGAAGCCAACTACCCACAGGAAGCCTCAGATGGCCCTTGGTGGAGGCAAAGAAGATTCCCCTTCTATTTTTTCAGCATGATTAGGAGGAAGGACATCAAGTACATGATTTTAATAGCCTGATTCATTTCAACCTCCATATGCCACGTGTATTTCCTGTTAATCTCTGATAACTTATGATATGCATGCTAGCCAAAGTTTGTGTTCAGACATATCTGTCCAATTTTTTCAGTTAGGGATTGGGGCAAGGAGACATGGGGCAGGAGGGACAGCAGGCAATATAAAATAAAATTAATTGTACAGGGAACTCATTGAAAATTAAACTGATACAGATGGCACATTTTATTTCTCTAGCATTTAATCTCATCCTTCTTTGCACTATAGTGTTCAAAAATAGTTATTTATTACAATGTTATAAACCAATGTTACTGCAATAAACAAAAAATTAAAAAAAAAAAAGAAAAAATAGTTATGTAGGGGCTGGCCCGGTGGCATAGCGGTTAAGTGCGTGCGCTCCGCTGCGGTGGCCCAGGGTTTGGATCCCGGGCGTGCACTGACACACCACTTATCAGGCCATGCTGTGGCGGCGTCCTGTATAAAGTAGAGGAAGATGAGCACGGATGTTAGCTCAGGGCCAATCTTCCTCAGCAAAAAGAGGAGGATTGGCAACAGATGTTAGCTCAGGGCTAGTCTTGCTCACAAAAAAATAAATAAATAAAGTTATTTAATGAATGTTGGATATATATCATGTATTTTTTTTTCAGTAGTCAAAGATCTTAAACACAATAAACATACTACCTGTGTTTTTGGTCAAGTATCTTGCTATTGCGAGGCTCTGGTGGAGGCTAAGTCCATCAACTTCCAAAATGGGGATTTTGCCGAACGGAAGAGCTTAAGATAAAATGAGCAAAGAATCAACGTCCACAACAAAATCAAGTTATAATACTTCCATGTTTGCTGATAATTGTGGAAACAAAGCATAATTTTAAAGTTAATGGAATTCTTGAATACTTATTCTAAAAGGGACATTAGGTACCCTCTAGTGGAAACTTTACATTTTATAAGTTTTAAAAAAAAAGAGTCATTAGAAGATCTGCTATAGAGTTAACAACAGAACCGGGTCTCGAACCCAGGTTTACAGTGATGCTGTGCGTTATCTCAGATACTTCCTACTTAACTTTTTAAAAATCTTTCTTTTAAAGCTTCATTAATCTTTGTGGCCTCAATCAGAGATCACATTAATTATTGTTTAAGACCATAGTCTGAGGAATATGGGGAGTCTGATTTACATATTGAGTTATGGTAAGGAATTTAGCCAAATTCTTATTTTGATGAGTGACAATTTGAAGTATATAGTGAGGCAGCAAGCATATTTGTACAAACATAAGACAGACTCATAGCGGATGTATTAATATTTTATCTGTAAATTGTACTTTGTTTTCTTATCTAAACCTATTATATTTTAGTCAGAAAGTAATACACATTTTTATATAAAAATTTTAAGTTGAAGATAAATAAAAATAATTCTACCACATAATTATAACCACTTAATATTTTAATTACTTTCTCATATATATATTTAAAGACAAAATCATAATGTACATAATGTTTATAAACCACTTTGTCATTTGGATATATTGTTTTAAAATCTTTCTAAATCAACGAGACACCATCTTTTTAATGGCTCTTATCTACACTCTGCCATATGAATTGATCACAATTTTCCCAACCACTGCCTTAGTTTTGGACATAGAATTATTTAGGAAAGAAGGAAAAGGATAAAGCTCCACTCAGAATCCCATGACGCTAACACAACTTCTAGCATCAACCTTCATGTGTCTTTTGTGCACACACTGAATAAGCACAAGACGGACCGCAGTTCACACCAGGAATAAAACATCTCTGAGCACTCACCTGATGAGGGTGCCAGGTACTGTTCTAGTGCCTGAGAGACCACAGCGAGCAAAACCAAGTCCCAAAGAAGCTGACACAAATTGTGATGCCTCATTTGAAGCAAGGTATGTTATGGAGAGGGACTTCACATGCCTAACATTCGGGGGGGGGGGGGGTGCTTCCTTTGTGCTAGGCATTGTACTAAATATTTATCACGCCCACTAGGTCTTCTGGTACTTACAACAACCTTATGAAGTAGGCATTAATTATTATCACATTTTATAAGCGAGGAAATGAGGTGAGGAGAGCTTATGTAAATAGTCCAGGTCACACACTGGTAGAGGCGAGATTCAAACTGAGGTCAGTTGGAATCTTTGCTCAGCTGTTTTGCTAGTTCTAAGAGCCACGTTTTAAGAAAGACAATAAAAATCAGAGCAAACCCAGAGGATAGTATCCAAGTTAGAGACAGGCCTAACATCACATTTCATGACGGTTGGCTGAAGAACCTGGCACTCTTCACAGGAGGAGACAAAACAAACCAAGTGGAACATGATAGCCATCTCCAAATATGGCACAGCTATCAAGTGGAAGAAAAATTTGACTTATTCTGACTATCTCTAAAATGCAGAACTAGAACTAAAAGTAACCGAACAAAAGGGCAGATTTTAACTCAAGATGAGAGAGAATTTTGTTAGCATTGGAACTATTGACAACGGAATGTGTTTTCTTGTGAGATGGTAAGCTTTCAGCTACCGGAAGTATTTGAGTCAAGCTCGGGATAATTGCCAACAGCGGAATATTGGGCTGCATCTAAAAAGAAGAAATTTAAAACAAGTGCTAAGTCCTTCATTTGGTTTTAGGCAAAAATAACAATAATTTCAGCGTTGTTGAAGGTGTAACTTAACAGGAGCACCCGTCAAAAAGTTTATAAGGAATTTAGTGATGCTTGGATATAACACCTCAGAGTGACATGGCTACCAAAATAACTACTGTGATCTTGGTAAAATGTCTCTGAATAATAATCTAGACCTGTGTTAGGAGTAATGATCTCATTCTGTTCTGTGCTGTTCTTATGCCTGGAACATTGTGTTTCCCTACAGGCACCACACATTAAATGGCAGACATAGTCTAACAGGAGCTTGTCCTACTTGGGTGGTGAGGAAACCCAAACCAGGAGATATAAATGGAACACTCAAGGAAGTGAAGAGAATCTTCTCTCAGACCTAGATGTGATTGTAGATCTCAGATAGCTCATGGGAAACAGCATCTAAACCAAGGAGTCAGGGGTGAGAAGGTTGGACTGAAATTCACAACGTTGATCAGGGAAACAATCAAGGAAATTCCAAAATTGATATTTAAATAGACGCATGAGTTATCTAGAGACCTTTATCTTCACTCTGAGCATTTTCATTGAACTGGCTACACAGCACTGGCTTTTTCTATATGATGTCTTAAAGGTACTAAATTTCTTCAAATAATTGGATGTGAAAGAAAGAATAATCTGTTCTCCATGGATTAAAATGATAAGTCCAATACCAACGTATGAAAGCCATAAGGAGATAGATTCCAATTTTGTGTAAGGAAGATTCTTTTAAAAGTTTTCCTCCCATCTATTGTCTGTTCTCTCTTCCTAGAATTTCACTGAGATGTTCAACCACCTAAACTGATTGATTCTCAATTTTCCTTATCTTTTTTCTCTTATTTTTCATATCTTTTTCCTGTTGTTGTACTTTCTGGGGGATTTCCCTGTTTTTCATCATTTTATTGACTTGTTTTGTTTGTATCAAATTTTAATTTTCAAGAATTTTTTGTCTCTGAACATTCCTCTTTAGAGCATCTTGTTCTTGTTTAGAATGTACAGATCATCTTCTCTTTTCTCTCTGAGGATTTTGTATTTTTGAAGTTTTTTTCTTGCTACATCATCTTGACTTCCTCAAAGGTTTTTTTCCCCCCGGCTTCTTTGTTTAGGTTCCTTTCATATTAAAAACTTTTTGCAAATATTTATTAATTTTTGACTTGCCATTCCTGTTTTAAAGGGCAAAGAAATAAAAGCTAACTGGAATCTCAGTGTGCATGGGAGTGTCTTGCAAACTGATTAGGCTGGGCCATTGCATTGAGGGACCCCCATCTGTCCAGTATCTGCTAGACATTTCTCTTGAACTGGTCAGCTTCCCCAGAGAGAGATCTTTCCATTTCCTGCCTGAAGGATATTAGCCTGGTTGCAGCATTCCAATTGTAGAGCAGGGGAAAGGGGCTGTGGGTCTCACTCTTTAGTTTCTAGGCTTCCATTGGATCCCATCTTTACTATAGCCTGTGTCCTCAGACATGCCTGGGGTTCTAGAATCCTCTGGTTCATCCTCTCTTGATAGTAATCTCCATGCTTCTTCCAGGGAGGGGAAGGGATCTTGTAGTCACATCGCTTCTTCACATTCTTTTGGTCCATCCTATATCAGCTCAGCTTTTCGAGTTATCTGTTGCTACCAATTCCTGGGCCTTTGGGGAGATCTCTGGAGTCATTCAGCTTGTTTCCTCCTCCCCCAGGCTTATATTTGAGCATCACTAGCCTACTAAGTCACCTTACCATTCTTTGACCCACTCTCTAGCTTCAATAATTTTGTGCTATCATATTCAAGCTTGATTTCTTTGTCCTTGTGGGGCCTTGTCTTTTTTTAAAAAAGGTCTTTTAATGTTATTAAAGGAGAGAAAAAAATGTAAACACCCGTGCACAATCTACCAAGTTTGGCCAAGAAGAACTTTTTAGTAGAAATATCCAATGATATTCTAGGCTACAGCAGAGGTGATGTCATAGGGGGTTTCAAACACTAGAGAGCATTCCTAAATTGAATAGGAGATGAGACCACATAAAATTTGTAATAGAAACTGTTTTTCAACATCTATTCTTTCCTTTTTTTCTCAAAGTAATAAAATCCTGGATTTTTAGCTGGGCAAATGATTATCCACAATAAAGTCAGCATTTTCCTACTTCCCTTGCAGTAATGTGACTAAGTTCTCACCAAAGGGTTGGAAGCAGAAGCCATGTGTGAAACTCTTCGGTCATGCTGTTGAAAGGAAGGGGTGTGCCCCTTTCCCTTTCACACTTCCTGTGAGCTGGAATGTGGAAGGAGAATGAATTATCTTAGACTGGGTGAGTAAGACAACCCACCAGGGGTGGCAGATCAACAGAAAAGGAGCCTAATTTTTGACACCTTCATGGAGCAGAACCATTACAGCAGCGTGGGCTTTTATGCAAAAGAAGTAAATTTCTATCCTCTTGAAGTTATTTTTGTGTTGGCTGTCTATTAAAGTATTTGAAACTATATCCTAACCAACATGAACTTTAAGATTCCTTTCAACTCTAAGAATTCATGAAAATATTAAGAAAATGCAGCAATTCCATTTTCAAAAACATAATGAAAAGTCAAGGTAGAATAGGGTATGAGGCACTCAAAGAACTTGTATCTAAAAATTGAAAGGCAGAATTTGTAATATGTAACATCGCCACAACTTGCTATCCATCTTGACTTAATTAGTGGATAAAATTAATTTTTACCTGTTTTATGTCCACAGAATTAAAAATCCCATGTACAAATTTTGATATTAGAAGAAACGTTTGGATATTAACAGTAAAGTTTTATGAGAACAGGAAATAAGATATTCTATCCCACCAGAGAAGGATTGTCTGATAAGAAAAAGAGTGGTTATGGGGACAATGACTTTTAAGAAACTCATGCTTCCAAAAGGCGTGTGGCAATATTTATTGTCAATATACCAATTATCGTGGTATTACAGTTGTTGGCATTATCTAGATAATAACTTGCAAATAACTTGGGCCATATCATTAAATTGACCTATGTTTGAAAATCAGCTCTACCTTTCTAGGGCTGTGAACCCGGAAAAATTACCTAAACTCTGTGTGCAAGGTTATCCCAACTATAGAATAGAAACCACAACATGTCCCATGTAGGCATGCTAGAGGAATGAAACGAAATAGAGTCTGTAGAGTATCTACTAGGGGCCAGATAGTCTTCAAGTACTTGATAGTTGTTTTCTTCAACTTCAGTGTCATGTGAATTTGTAATAATCCAGGCATAAACATGTGAAATTTTAGACATATAATTAATATTTAGTTCGTATTTCTAGGTAACATGGCAAGCATCTCGAGGATGACTTACAACTTACTGAGAACCACATACTGTTGTTTATTTAATGTGATGATATTTCTGATTCTTCCCCATTGTCCTGAGTGGTAAGTAGCACGTTTTCATTGCATTATCTGCCCAATTTGTCAATTTGTTCTTTCCTCTGATCAAACAGATCCCAGTTTTGTTCACATATCCCCTCCTCTCTCATGAAGCCACGTGCCTCATGAAAACTGATTGCATCCCCAACTTCAGAGGTGGATTAGATAGTTCTAAGGCTCTTCTCATCCCCTTTGCCAATGACTGGTTCAGAAATGGCCATGTGACCCAATGTGAGCCAAAGAGACACAAGAAGTTTGTTGAGGTCTTCTGGGAACGTTTTCCTTCATTCTCCTGGGAACACTTAAGGAAGCAGTGCACTCTCTCTTTCTCTTTCTATCCTCTTGATGTTGCTGTTCAAGGCTGTGAGGCTGGAATTGCAGCAAACATATTGCTACTGGCCTCACAATGCAGCAAACACGGAGGAGGAAAATAGATAAAGCCATCCTTTGAAAGCTGTCCTACTTCAAAATTTTCAATTAGGTGATGTGATTCATTTCCTTATTATTTAAGTCATTTTGAGTTTTGTTTTCTGTTACAGCAGCATATCTGATCCATTGTGAAAACGCTTCAGATATCTCTGGCAAGCCCACCAATTCCAATTGCCAAGAATATTGACTTCAGTATTCCTTCATTTTAGCTCCTCTGACAAAGCTTCATATTAGTTTATCTTTATATTCTCTCTCTGTGAGGTTTTTGTTTTCACCTCGAATAGGAAATTTCCCGGGTCACATAGCATTTCTTTAACTGCCTGAACTGCTGCTTCTCAATGTAAAGCTACATGAGATTTAAAAACTTATTTTTTCATTTCCCTGAGGAAAGACAAAAGGTTCTAGAAACATATTTTCCCCACATTTCCATGAACTATTATTTGTGCTACTTACTTGACTTGATTTCAGGCCAATCAGCTTGTTCTATTCTGTGGTCTTCATAGTTTATGTCTAAATATGCAAATATGTAACGAATAATTTCTGCTCTCCCCCTCATATTAAAATATATGAGTTTGTAGTTTGGCATGGTGTGATTCTGCAAAGAGAAAAATGGAGGGATTATTTTAACAGATTTCTAGAGATGTTTCGACATTTTTCTTTGGGGACTTTTTGAAAACTTTATGTCATCTTTTGAGATAACTGGAGATATTAGAGGATGTTTCAAAACCAGAATTATAAATCACTATCCTAATAACATATGTGAAAGACTTAATAGAAATAAAATCATGACTCTGCCTGTAAGAACTAGCTGGAACATTTGGTTATTTCAACAACCAAATTCAAATTTTATTTATAAAAAGACTTCAGAGTGGAAGGCTATCTACACACCAGTGTTCAGAGGATAAGGTCAAAAACTTTCCATTTTAAGATGTTTTCGTCCTGCCTTAGTCACGTGCAGTGGGTGGTGTTTGACATTTGGTTTGTTTGCTTTGGTGACACAGCTGAGGTTGTGAGGACAGCTGAGTAAGGATTGCAAGGGCAGGGTACATGCAAGAGGAATGCAAGCCAGCCGTGCCAACCTGTCATCCCCTCTCTTCCCTCACTCGTGGCATTTCCCTCTAAGAATCAAAGGCTTAGGGAAACATTGCTCTCTTTTCTCTCTTACTGCTGCTGGGTTTTATTGGGTTGCTTGCACCATACAAGCATACCCCATCTTGAGGACTTCTGTTGGGATGGGACAATGGTGAGCATATTTCTCCATTCCCTCTATAGAGCAGCAAGGAAAAAAGAAAGCAAACTTTTCTTACATTTCAGAAAGTTTGTTAATACTAGCTATATTGGTTAGATGGAGGTCATTCTAATTTTGTGAGTTTTCCTTGATTTGTATCATTTCAATTCCATCATTTATAAACAGTTAATGCTTTTAGGCATTAATATTAGAATGTATTGTAATTTTATAATAATCAGGCAACTGAGAAAGAAACATTTTCCCTTGAAATTCAGTTCTTCCACTTAGTTGCTGTGTATCGTTGGGCTAGTCAACAAAATCTCTCTTTTTATAAATAGAGACACTAATATGGATTTGGGGATTTAATGAGGTAATACATATAAACCATTTAGCACAATGCTAAACACTTAATAATTATTAGCTATTAATAATAATAGCTTTGAACTCGTTCTATAGTTAAGAATAAACACTGTGAATACAGCGCACCAAAATAATTAGAGTAATTAAATAAATAAAAATCATAAATAATTATATATTTAAAGTGGCAAGGTTAAATAGCTTATTCTCTACTGAGGAAGTCTTTCAAAGATATTAACGAAATATGAGATAAAAAGAAAAGTTGGGCTCAAACCTCAAAATAAAGTTCCGTTTGAAATCACATCACATAAACGGTCAAACACAAAAATCTAGATTGCCAAGTTCATATCTCAAGTTTATGTGCTCACAGTGTCTGCGGAAAGGATGACAGGAAATAACCGTCTGCATGCCTTTATAGACCCTCTCAGGATCTGGGAAATGATGGGGACGGCGATTCCTAGCAAATCCATTTCTCTGGGCCCAGGTTTTCCATGTCCAGATGTTGTGGAGCGGCGGTGGTGCTCCTTTGTTAGAAACAGAGTCACCCTAATCGTTTCCCATCCTGTCCCACTCCCACTATCCAGTCCAGTCCCTACCCAAGTGAAATGTGGCACATGCCACACATATCAATATAAGAGGGAATGTTCTCTGTAGAGAAAAAAATTCACTAGAGTAAACTAATGAAAATTCCAAGATTTACAGCCCCAAATTCCTTTAGAAGAGAAATATACATATAGGGGGTTAAAATTTGGGTGACTAAATGCAGTGCCCATGAGAACAATGAGGCTGTTTTCCAAGTTTCTTAGAAATGTTGAGCAAGGGCTGGCCCTGTGGCTTAGCGGTTAAGCGTGCACGCTATGCTGCTGGTGGCCCGGGTTTGGATCCAGGGCGCGCACCGATGCACCGCTTCTCCAGCCATGCTGAGGCCACGTCCCACATACAGCAACTAGAAGGCTGTGCAACTATGACATACAACTATCTACTGGGACTTGGGGGGGGGCGGCGGAAAAGAAATGTTGAGCTTAAAAATAAATAGTAGGAAAGGCATGAGGTCACAGAAATAGTAAATAAAAAATGTAAAGTAATAAGTTTCCTTCTGAAAAAGGAAAACGTTTTATGTAACCATAATAAAGGGAACATTCTTACCTAGAAAATAAAAAACATATTGTTACAATTCCTTAATCTATTCGTTTTAAATCTCAAAAGAACAAAAAAGCCTTCAGAGTGGGAAGTGTCATTCTTAGTTGCCTCTTTTATTTAAAAAGTATTTTATACAATTTCTTGTATTGATTTTTGCCATTGTAGGTCAATGCTTCCATGGCAACAAAGAAATTATATATCTTTTCCTTATAAACATTATATGTGTATATAGATTCATATATGTCCAAATGATCAACTTTAAAAATAAAACATATAATCTTTTCCCACTTGGTCAAATATCACGTAAATATCAGTGTCGCACCTCCTGAATTCTGCATGAAAACAAACGGGTTGTTTGCTGTTGTTGTTAATGTGCAAAATCATGCTATTTTATATTGTATTTCACTCAAGTAAAGAAGATATTTGAAAATTCTTAGCATAGGTTGGTAGCTATCTATGTTTCTCTGCAAATAGATCTTTAAATCTAAGATTTGGCACCACTCCATGAACATCTGACAAATGCTTATCATTCCTTCTAGAACATCCTTTCAACTCTCATAACTCATTAACAAAGCTATACTTGCACATCACATTCCTGGAGTTACTTACATATTACATTTTCCACTGAGCAAAAGTCTAGTTTCTTTTTTGTGTGTGTGAGGAAGATCATCCCTGTGCTAACATCTGCCAATCCTCCTCTTTTTTTGCTGAGGAAGACTGGCCCTGGGCTAACCTCCATGCCCATCTTCCTCCACTTTATATGGGACACCACCACAGCATGGCTTGCCAAGCAGTGTGTGGGTGCGCGGCTGGGATCCGAACCAGCGGACCCCGGGGCGCCGCAGCGGAGCGCACGCACTTAACCGCTTGCGCCACCAGGGCAGCCCCACAAAAAGTCTAGTTTCTTGATTTCTACAGCTACAAAATCCCAAACTTGAAGACTTTTATTTTTAGGATATACATGAACGTTTTTATGTCACGAAAAGTAAGTAAAGGTAAATGCAATTGGAAACATTTAACGATTGAAAATCCTCTCTATATTTTATAAAGCTTTTGCATAAAAACTAACAGAAGGAATTCCACGTAAATGCTTCTATGGCCAACAACATAAGGAAATTTACTATAAATGCTAAATATAAGTAAAGAGGATACTGTCTAGAGATTAGATTGGTGGTTACCAGAGGGGAAGGGGGGAGGCAGGAGGGTGAAGGGGTGATTAGGCACATGTGTGTGGTGATGGATTGTAATCAGTATTTGGGTGGTGAACATGAGAACATGATGTAATCCATGCATAAATAGAAGTATAATGATGTACACCTGAAATTTATACGTTATAAACCAATGTTACTGCAATAAACAAAATAAATAAATAAATAAATTATAAGAGGATACTGTCTAGAACTTTTTTTCCTCTTTTGCATTCAGCTGTATATCTCTGCTACAATAATCTCACTTTGTTAAAGCCTTTATTTCATAAGGGTAATAGACTCAAAGGATGAAGGTAAACATACTCCACCCCACAAAGGGTCGCAGTGAGGAACACGCTCAAGGCTGGAGCAGGCCCACAGCGGAAGGGCACGTGCAGTTTTGGAGTGTCCCTGCCGCTCATAATCTGAAGGGCCTTGGGCAAGTCACCTGTTCCTAGCTTTAGTTTCCTCACCTGTAAAAGGATATTGAAAATATTATGTGCAAAGAACCAACACCGTGCTTGGCACATAGTATATGTTCAGAAAGAAAAGAGAGAGAGAATAAAAAGGCAGAGAGGGTGGGGGGAGAGTCCAGCTTTGTGTGATTTGCCGGGACTCAAATCCTCAAGGTCATGTTCTTTGATAAACCCTCCTGCTGCAGTCACATAAAGAAGGCAAATTAAATGTGAAAACAAAATATATAGTTAGGATTCAAAGGAAGATAAACTTTGCCTGGACCAAAACGAGCAGACACACACTGCAGGGAGCAGGACCCCGGGTTCTGAGGGAGCCCACCGCCAGCCAGGAGCTGAGCGCCTTCAGAATGAAGGAGGAGAAAATCCTCCACGCGGGATGGGAGTCTGGAGCGATATACTGTTGGAAGCGAGGGCCCGGCAGGTTTTCCTATAAAATTTAGAAGAGGTCAAATTACAAACCTCTAGTAGAACTGATGAAGAGGAAAAACTATGATGTCACAAAGCATTAATATTACAGATAAAAAGGGCTCCAAATAGCAGATAAAATAGATATTTAAAAATCATAAGCTAACACTACAAATGACTTTATGTCACTAAATCTATGTCACTAAACTTTATGTCACTAAACACTAAAATGGAAAAATTTTGAGAAATATATAAACTGACACCATCAAATCAAAAAGAAACTGAGAGCCTGCATTTAACAATAACCAGTAAAGAAACTGAATTGGTAATTAGTTATACCCAAAAAGACACCAAGCCCAGGTGATTTACAGGTAAATTTTACTTAACCTTCAAGGGAAAGGTAATCCTTATCTTTTACAAATAGTTTCAGGCAATAGAAAAATGGAAAAAGGTCAGAGATGTTAAATGATGAAGATTATAGGCTAATCTCACTATAAACATAGATATAAACATCCTAAATAACTTATTAGCTATTCATATAGTGTATAAAAAGGAAATAAATGGAATGACAAGATAGTGTTTGTCCCAGCAATGCAAGCTGTTTCAACATCAAAACATCCATCTGTATAATATGCTACAATAATAGATTTAAAAGGGAAAAATCACAAACCATACTATCTTCTCAATAGATGCTAAATAAATGCTTTAAAAAAAGCATTTATGAAATTAATCACTTACATGTGATCAAAACTCTTTTAAAAAAAACTTTTACCAAACTGAGAATAGAAGAAAATTTCCTTAACCTGATAAATCCCTACAAAAAATTTAGAGCAAACATCATACATAATCAGGAGCCAATGGAAGCATTTTCTTTCGTATCAGGAATAAGAGGAACCCCACCATTACCTCTACTATTCAACATAGTCCTAGAAGGCCTAGCTAATTCAGTAATGTAAGACAACAGTAAATAACACACGTGAGGGGTGGAAAGGAAGAGACAAAACTGTCCTTATTTGCAATCAAAATGATTGTCTGTGTTTAAAATCCAAGAGTCTATGGATAAATCTGATCCTAAATTTCAAATGGAAATGACCAAAATCGCCAAGACAAATTAAGAGGGCAGAAGGAGAGGACTTGACCTACCAGATAGCAAGACTTGTATAAAAAACCTTGTAATTAAGGTAATGTGATATTTGTTCAGGGCTAGACATACAGAGGTGCATAGAGTCTTGAAACAGACCCTCAGATGTAAGACAGACATGACCTTACAGCGGGGACATAAAGGGACTAGACAAAAACAGTTCTGAGACAAAAGGGGAAAAGTATACATAATTAGACCCCAACTTCACATAATGCATAGAAGTAACACCCAGGTGGATTATAGACCTAAATGTGATTTGGCTGGCCTAGGAAAATTCCAATGTCAAGCTGATCTCTTATTTTCTGTTAGCTTCATTTCTCAGCCTTTCCACTGCTACTCTGTGTTAAGAATCCCAAATAGGGAAAGCTGCATATATTTCCTGAAATGAAACAGAAACAAGAAGTAAAAAGGTTGATTATGCTTAAAGCTCTCCTTCACACCTAAAACTAACCACTGGCTTCCTTCCACTCCATGTCAAGTCCCTGATTCAGCAGATAAATATAAAGCTCACTTAGAATCCTGTTTGAAAAATAAGATACACAGTTTCTCAAAGAATATATGAATGATGACTAAAAATACCCTGGATAGAAACTTCCATATACGAACTCATATGAATGTAGCCATTAAATGCAAAAGGAGATTTAGCTTTTAATGTATGCTAAACTTGTTTAGAAATTAAATCTTTTCCATGGAAAATAATAGTGTTTTTGAAAATTTCTGTCTTGGGTACTTCCTTTCTTTCTTCTAAGTTTGTAGCTCTTTTTACTTTATATAACACTGATACATTTCAGCCGATTAACAACAACAACATACAGGAGAATTCAATCCCAGAGGCAATTTTCATGCAGTCATTGATAAAATACAAACATTCATAAAATACACATTTAATTTAAACTAAGCCAGCATTCTATTCTGTATATTGCTGTAAGAGCACAGAAAAACATAGTCTCAAAAATTCTAGTCTGTACCAGAAAGGTGACAACAATCCAAATTCAACTCTCTGGCAAAGGAGGCTAATATTCAATGACTATGTTACGCACCTTAAAGATTTCAGCAGATAACTTAAAAAAGGGATAGAATATTGGGAGTAATTTTGATGGATAGAAAACTTACAAATAAGGAATTAAGTATTAACCATTTTACAATTCAATCCCAAACCTAAATGCTATTTATCTTAATATATTTTATTCATGAAAGTGTTGGTCTACATGAGCTCTTACTGTGAAATGAAAGGAACTTCAAACATACTTGGGAATTCCAGATACAGTTTTTTATATGCCCAGTAATGGTGCAATAACCTATAAGTTTGAAGTAGAAGAATAAAGATTACTTGTGAATTTGCCAGCAGTTCTTTGCTCCATCTTAACTTGACCAGTAATAAACCTATTCACATAGTGGCACAGAGCATCATGTTTGTACTCCCCTTGTATAGACTGTAGTGTTTTGAAATGCAAAAAGTGGATTCAGATAGCAATCACGTGAGATACTATTATCTACACAGGAACTTCTTGTACATATTGACGTTAAATAACAGCACTGTGTTACCTGCTAACAGTTGGTGGTAAAGAATGCTGATTTCCCTCATTCACAGTGTTCCTGAGCATTTCTAGTTCAAATCTGGAGTTAAATTGTAGGACAAGGGAGAAATATAAGAATGTTTGTTAACTCGGTAAGTTATTGATTTCAATCAAACACTGGATGTTTAATTTTGAATTGGCAAGCCAGGATCTCCATTTTCCTATCAAAGGCCAACTAAATATCATTTGCCTCACATTAAAGCTAAAGAGAGAATAAGAATTGAAATATCCTTTGGGAGCTGTGAGTTCAAATTCCTTCACTGGGGTAAATCCCTTAAACTATCTTTGAAACTAAATTATAATAGAATGCAGTTCTTGGCAAAACATGTAAAAACATCAACAAAATGAGCCTTAAAGTGATACAAAATATTACAAATAACATTTCTGAATTTAAAAAAAAAAAAAGGAAAGTGAAGAACCTTGAAATGAAATTCTCTACTGCTTCACACATTGAAAACATCACTTGTGAAAATTCTGGAAGTAGTCACAAGCCTTGATTAGGACAGAATTTTTCCTCTGGTATTGACTGCATTTTCTATGTTAAAATCTACTTGAAGGATCTTTCAAATTCTCTTAAAATCTTATAAAATCTCCTGTACCTATATTTCTCTTAGAAATTACATTGGATTTCTCTCTATTTCCATAGAGAGGCTCCAAATGAGACAAAGTCAGATGGGTGAAATGGCGAAAATAGGTCACAAGACAGTCATTCAGTCACACACAGACTATGACGGTAATAAAATTAAGCCCTAAAATGAAGAGTGAAGACTCTCTCATTTCTAATCTTTGTAGAGTTCAATCACATCACTTACTTGTGCTGTGTCTCTGTGGAGTCTCTGGTATCTTCTATGCCCTCATGTGTGATTGCATCTTGGGTTTATATGATGAATAAGTGACAGGCGCAAGCCAATGAGAGAGAAGAGTGGACTTACTTCCACCTAAGACTGTTCCTTCATTTCTTAAATGAAATATGTCTGCCAAACAGTGAAGCCTACAAAGACTTCTGGTTGTTCTTGGCATGGTATAGGATCTCTGTGTATTAATAACCTAAGATATTTGCATACAGTTGGTAAAGTCAAAGTTATAGGCGCTGACGTGAGCCTACTGCTACATGTTCGTTTACTTTTAAAAGTCTTACACCACAGGCTCCTGGAGACTGAGAAAACGTGAGCACAAGGGAACCCTCCTTACAGACGTGCACGTGGCCTGCCTCCTCACTCCTTTAGGCCTCCTTGGAGAGTCCCTGGCTGACCATCTTCCCGCCGGAACCCTGTTCCAACAGTCTCATCCCTTACCTGCTGTGTGTTTCTCCTCCACAATGTCCTACAACAGAGTGTATGTTACTTGTTTGTTCTCAGCCTCCCCCGGTGAAATGTACGCTCCATAAGGGCAGGTACTTCATTGCTGAGTTTACTATTGTGTCCTCAGTATCAAGAGGAGTGCTGGGCACGTCATAGGCACCAATATATATTTGATGAATGATGATCCCAATTTATATTTCTCCACAATTCACATTTTTACAAGGACTCTCTAAATACTCATTCCTGCTTGTGTACTTCACCTACACTGTTTTCTCAGAAGGGCCATATTGTTTAAAGTATACCAGAGTGGAAGGTTCTGATACATCTTGTTGATAATCTTTATACAGATTAGTAACAAATGCCTAAATGTTTTAGAAATTTATTTTTTCACTCCTTAGAGCAGGAATTAATTCCAGCTATAATATTAGGATGGCTCGGTGAAAAGATCCAGTAAAATACCTGCCTGTGCATTATTGGGCCTGCAGACTATCCATGAAACATGGTAATGACAAGCTGGCTTCAACTTCCAGAAAATTACACTCATAGGCAGCAACAGCAACCTATCAATCATGTGATATTTCCTATTTCTAAGTGCTGTAAACTTTGAAAAATATGTTTCCTTCCACTTACTGTAAACATAAGAAAGGAAGATAAATATAAATATTAGTCTGTAAAAAGATTAATTAAGAAGACACACGTACAGCCCCTTACCCACCAAAAAGATATATGTGAGTCAAAATCAAGTGCAAATGGAATGGGAGACATACAAAATTAACACATTGTATTTATTATCTTTCACTGAGTTCTAACATACATTTTAAAAAAATCTTTTTTCCTCTGCTCAATCGTTTTTAATCCCCATTTTATAGATGAGAAACTGAGATACAGGGAAATTAGCAAGGAATTTGGGATGGGACAAGGTAGGATTAAAGCCTAGGCCTTCTGGTGACACATGTAATATTCTTTCCCTACATAATGCTTCAGAAAAAAAAAAGTCAGATATGCAAGAAAGAGCACTTGCCTTATTTTCTCTGACAATTTTCTGCTTTACAGCCCATTCTGCTTGGTTGGAGGAAGACAGAACAACAAATCACTGATGAGCAGAGGAGTGGCCGTGTGATCTCAGGCATCCATCTCCTCAGGCTGTCCTGGAGGCTGCCCCTGCCTGTGTGCATGGCTTCGTAGCGGCAGCTCTCTGCGGCTTCTGCAGCGCCCTCGTTCTCCACTCTCCTGCCCAGACGTGGCAGTTCAGTCACTGACAATGCCGCCTGGGGTTCCATCTGCCCACACCCAACACCACCATTTCTTAGATGTGGTCTTGCCACCTCCCTGGCAGCACAATAGGGTCCTAGTGTCCCTCTGTGCCCCAGAACCACAGATTCCCCTTCCTCTCTCTTCTCTCCCCAGCCCAAGTGGGGACACTGCAAAATCCCTTAGTCTACTACCAGCTGTGGGACTTTGGGCACATCATTAACCTCTCTGTGCCTCTCTGTTTACCTAAAGCAGTAAACAAAAACAGACAAAAATCCTCACCCTTATGGAGCATTCTAATGATATTACTAATAACTCCCTCATAGGGTTTTGAGAGCATTAAATGAATACAAAAATGTGCCTAATGCATCGCTAGAGACCTGAGTGTTAGCGACTATTAACATTGTTAGCAATTCTGGAGGGAGGATCGTTCCCTCCGAGAGACCATGCTGATGAATTTGGGCCCTCTCTGCAGTTAGGCTTTGCAACTAAAAGTTAGGAAGAGAAGCAGTTGCCTGGCACTTGCATTTTTCACCCTGCTTCATCCTCTCCTAAGGAAATGAACACAGAGCCAACGATCTGAATGTGGAGAAGGAAAAGCAGGTGAAAACCCCTCGTGGATTTGTAACAGCTAGATCTTAGGTTAGCGTGGGGGAAGCCATCTCAGGGAAAGGAGGCAATATTGCAACTGTGATCCTGACTCACTAGTCTCTGAGAATGCACTCTGGCCTGCACGTAGCCTAGATGATTAAGCACCTCTCACTCTTCAAAACACATGATCTGGTAGTTCTATGACTCTTGCTTACGTATATCTCCCAGCTGTGATAAGGATAACTTTGTTCTCCGAGTTCCCCAGGAACATGATGACCTCCAGAGAGAAAAACTCTGTGTTGGTGCCTGTCACAAATGACAGAAGAAAGAGATAATGAGGTGCCTTGAAGTTCGTCACACCAGATGATGGACATCCCAAAACCCCCTCCTTCCCCGTCCATTTCCCCTATATCACTGCCTCAGGATTCTGTATGACTTTAACATGGTTCTTTAGGACACTAGTCCACCATCTTCCAATTGTGCTAGCTAATCGTATAAATTTTCCTTTCTCAACCACCGACTGGTTTGCAATTGATTGGCACTGGATTGTGGAGGGCAGAATGGGCCCCCTTTTGCTCGGTTACAGATTCTCTCACAGCTCTCTCCTGGCCAGAGCAGCTATTTCTTCATGCCAACACCCTTCATGAACACCCTGTGCACCAGATTGGACTGTCTGAGAAATAACTGAATAAATGTGACAATTTGTATGATAATGTCTACACAATCATTTGAAGGACAATTACAATTTAATTGAATATATCTTCCTTTCCTCCAGCGACTCCCAGATTGCAAAACTCTCACTTCTGTGGTATTTAATTAGCAAGTTCCTGACTGCTGTTCGAAATCCAACACTGACTCCGAGTCCAATTTTGTTTTTGTTTTCTTTATTTTCCGACCTGTGCAGTAATGTGGTCGTACAAGGTCCTGATGAAGACTTCTAGCCTGGACACCTGACCACTCACCTGGATGTGGAATCTCGACGTCACTGCTGTGGAGCTCTGGAATGTGAGGCAGATCCCTACCCTCTCTCTCAGTCAGCATCAGTGTCCTCATCTGTCAAATGGTAATAACAAAAATCATCTGATTTCTCAGAGCTGAGAGGATTAAACAAGTTAATGTATTTAAATTACTCAACGCATTGCTTGGCAAGTAGTTACCGCTTGACAAGTACTAGTGGTTATTACATATTTCTTTAATAACAGAAAAATAAATATGATATTTTAAAAATAGCCCATATATTAGTTCTTCTTTCTGTATTTATGTTGGTAAAGGGGAAGTGTTCAGACAAACCCGTGTCTGCTTTTCTATCTGTTCCATTGGTGGAGAAGGAGGAAGTCTCCAGAAGACCCCGCAGAGCTCCCCTTACTCAGCTTCACGATTTCCTTTGCACAGTCACTTGAGAAACTAAAAACATCTAAAGCTAGAGTATTTAAACCCGGATGAAGAAGGCAGGAAATTAAGAATATGTTTCTCTTTCTGCTTCTAACCTATCTGGGTAATTGAAATGTGCTTGCAAATCCTTGGTATCTGTGTTTCCCCAGGTTTCAGCAGTGATAACGTGATTTTTCTTACCTGACTCTTCAGATGCTGTGAAGATTGATACAGTAATTATCTCCAAGGTTGTGAGTAGATGGTTTTCTGCCTAGCCTCTTGCCTGAAAGAGGATTCCCAGATGTAAGCAAATAATAGTAATATAAATACATAATATCCGCTAAGTGCTTTCTGTGGGCCAGGCATTGAACAAAGCGCTTGCCATATATGATCTCATTTAATGCCCACAAAATAACCTCACATGTGCTGTGCTAGCCTTGAGTATGGTTATGTAACTGACTAGGGAATGTCACAAAAGTGTCTCTAGATGTAAAATTCCTCAAACATTTGAATCTTATTCATGAGATTTCATGTTTATTCTTCTGTCAAGAATGGGGAAAATAAGCACTGAAATAGAGTAAGTTAACTTGTTTTTCAAGATTTTTCCAGAATCAATTACTGTTCCCTCTGTATCATTACAACATGCATTGAAAGGACCATGCATTAAATCTCGCCTCTGCCTTTACCCTGTCCTGCTACCCAAGACTCTCATCTCCTCTCGGAACCTCAGTTCTTGGAAAATAAAAGAGTCGGCCTAGTGACCTCTGAAGTCACTTTCTGCTCTATTATTCAATGATGTAATTGTCCCACAAAGACGTTTCTCTGTCTTACACGATAACTTGAATGAAAACTAAGTCCAAAGGGACACAGAGTTCCTAGTCTAAGGGTTACAGGGGCACACAATTATCTTTGTCCCAAATCTGGCAACAAAGACAAAATATGTCACAGGAAGTTCACCCTCTCTGATAATCCCAGGTCACAGGATGGACTTACTATTTACAGGTACTAAAAAATAATGCAGACAAACGTATAGAGAGAATTTTTTTTTGAGATTAAAGCACTTTCCTGAAAGTTATCAAGAAGCAAGCAACAAAAATGTATGTACTAAAACAATTTGTGTATTTGGATTTTTTATATATTTTAAAAATATATTAATCTGAAAAGGTGTGTTTTCCTCATGAAATCTAGAAAGAGGAGATTTTGGAGAATAAGAATGTGTCAGAAACTGTCCAGGACTACAGGGGACTCATACTAGCAAACACTGGTGTTTGTGCTTATCATGTACTTGGTACACACTCAATGGTTTAATTTGCCAAGGTCTCAAAGCCAGCAAGCAGCAGATCCAACATCTGAGCCAGCTAGTGGGCCTTCAGAGTCTTTGCTATTAATCACTGCATTCGATTGCCCCATAAATGTATCACTCAAGTGATACATATTTATACATATAATTCTCACTCCATAAGGCTTCTATCAGCTGCTGACACTATTTCTCAGGATTATTCTACCTTCCTTAGCCTGACTATACATGTCAAGCAAATTTCTGATGTAAATTCTTTCTCCTAATCAGGTTTTTTCACTGTTTCATTCTAGAAATTGATTTTGCATGCCTTCATATCAAACACGTAGGATTT